GAATGATTATAAAAAAAATCCCCATCCAAATTGTGCCCGCTTTTAGGTGCTTAGAGACAAGTTAATAGTTTCAAAATAAAAAAAAAGTTTATTCATGAATCGTGAAATAACATACTCTAAAATTTTGCCAACAATTTCGAAACTACCCTGTATATTGTTATTAGTATTTTATCTGCAAACGTCAGAAAAATGACGCTTTTATGACTAAATGACCCAGGTAAAAGTTTAACCTTTCAGACATAGGGTAAAAACACTGTTTTTTCGCCTAACTCCCGTTCAGCAAAATAAACGTTCAGATTCGCCACATAAACTATCACTTTTAATCCTAATATCATAATATATTATTTGGGTATTGATGTACCGTGTCATGTCGTATTTAATAGACAAAAAAAAATAGGAATGCGATTTTAATAAGATACATTTTGCTTGTAATCGAAGAAGTAAAAAAGCGGAGGTCACAAGCCGCGGTATTTCAAGGAAAGTATATTCTCAAACATGAATGCAGATATCGTATCTTCAAAGCGACTAAAACAAACAGGCAACATTAAACCGTGTATAAACGTGGGTCACAGAGAGAACGAGAAAGAGAGGAACGCAGTTATTAGATTTTCAGGCAAACAGTTCATGAAACAGCTGCGAGACGACGCTTCTAATGGCACTGCGCTTCCTCATGGCAGCGTCGTGGCGCCTAACCTATCGATTGATACCGTTGATACGTCAGTTTCAAACCCAAGACCTGCTCCGTATTCGATTTTTACATAAAAGTAGTAGTAAAAGTAGTCTGTTAGGTTGTTAGTAAAAGGTTACTGTTGTACACCCGGGGAAAAAACTATTCACCAGTCTAACTTGGCGCTCACGCTGCGCTTTGTTGCAATAGTGTTTCAAACTAACTAGTTGAGGAGCAGGTATAATATATTTATTGAAAAACCCTTATTTAGGAAATTGGTATGGACTGGAGGACACACGTTTCTTGAAAACTGTGTTATGGAAAATTGCTTCAATGAATATGTCCCCGGATTGAGTTTACAAGAGAAATTTTTTTTATCTTTGATTATACGCCAAAACTGCAAAGGAAAAACATTTCTTGCAATATCTGAAACGAGCAAATCTGTAATTAAAACTTTATTATTCTAACTTAATAGAAAAAAAGTTCATTTTTCTCTTGATTTTGGACTTATTTTTTGTTAATTATTTTTCTCAGCGTTTTAAATCCCATCACATTGGCGGTTTTACTTTTTTAATAACGATGTGACTTTGCCAAATGAGTTTACGCAAGAATGATGAACATGAAAGCAATTGYTGTTTAATAATGATTAASCAARTTAAATAAATATTGCGACAAATTATTAATTAATCATCKCATGAAAATATTTTTAASAGTRATAATGGGGTGCGACCCCGTAATCTTCATGAATTGACAGATAATGTAAATAAAGTTTGGGGGCAAATAAGGCGAACAAATTTGTGTGAAATCTTAGTCAATTCCATGCCACGCAGATTGCAGGAATGCATTGACGCCGAAGACTACTACATTAATTATTAGAACATTGTATTTTTGTGATTTACATTTAATTTTATTAATAAATAACTAGTTTCTTTCGTTTTTTCTATTTATCTTTTTTTACCTTTAAACAAAGCAAAAAAACAGTGGTAAATTTAATTTTACAAGAAGAAAAAATTTTTTTTTTAATTTTATGCCAACACTGCTCTGCTTTACCTGAAAGGTAAATTATAAATTTGGTTATTATAATCATCACCTTTTTGATCCATTTTCGACTTGTCATTTTTTTTTCGACTTGTCATTTTACTTGACATTTTACAGACTACGTTTTTAGACTCGATTACAAATTATCTTGAGCGCTCGATATATAATATATAATAATATATATAATAATAATAATTTTTCTCTGTTTTTTAAATCTCATTACATTGGCGATTTAATTTTTTGACAACGATGTCACTTTGAAAATTAATTAATTAATTGAATAATAATTGTTTTTGTTAAAAATAACTTTGTATTTTTTTATCTTAAAGCTGTTTTTTAGAATTGCCATTTATTAAAATTATATTTTTCTTGAACATTTTTGTTATTTAACTTGCGTAAACTCATTTGGCAGTCACATTGTTATTAAAAAAGTAAAACCGTTAATGTGATGGGATTTAAAGCGCTGAGAAAAATAATTCAAAAAAAAAGTCCAAAATCAAGAGAAAAATGAACTTTTTTTCTATTAAGTTAGAATAATAAAGTTTTAATTACAGATTTGCTCGTTTCAGATATTGCAAGAAATGTTTTTCCTTTGCAGTTTTGGCGTATAATCAAAAAAAAAATCCTCTTGTAAACTCAATCCGGGGTTATACTCATTGAAGCAATTTTCCATAACACAGTTTTTAAGAAACGTGTCCTCCAGTCCAGACCAACTTCCTAAATAAGGGTTTTTCAACATATTATACCTGCTCCTCAACTAGTTAGTTTGAAACACTATTGCAACAAAGCGCAGCGTGAGCGCCAAGTTAGACTGGTGAATAGTTTTTTCCCCGGGTGTACAAGGTGATTCTTTTAGGGCCTATATTAGAAACTTTTTAACTTCTAATGCAGATAGAAATTTGAAATTTTGTATACAACCCAAATCAACCAGTCTGAGTTCAACTAAATTATTTTCAAAATGGCTGAACTTCCGGAACTACGAGAAATTGGCGCCAACTTTGAAATTTTAAATGGTAACCAATTATTTTTATTGCATTTTTGAATTCTCCTCTTCAAACTGAGTAAAATGTACCTAGTTATTAGTACTTATCTGTCATAGTTTTTGACATATGTCAATTTTTTGCTCAAAATTTTCATTTACAGAGGTTTATTAAAAACATCACAGCTCTTGAACCGTTTGCAATAAGTAAATAATTTTTCTTGCATTTGATAACCAAAGGTTCGAAGAGTTTCCTAAAATTTTCAAAATTGTCAACTGTCAAATTGCAAAGCTTATATGATTTTTTGAAAATGATATTTAAGAAACAGCTATAACTCAGTTTTTTCAAATAAAATGACCCCATTTTCTCAACGGCAATCGAAAGTACATCGATTTCTAGAAGGACTTTTATCAACATGTCCTATATCCAACTCTTACAGTTTCTGAAATAATCACGAAAAACGTGGTTTTGTTTTTTATTTTTATAGTAAATCACGTAGCCTTTGGAAAATGATCAAAACGAATTAAAGATTTATTAGTCTACACAACACCCATCCGGAATTACAAAGAATTGAGGCGGCATTTAATAATCTTCAACCAAATAAACTAATGGAAGCTACTCAAATCAGTTCACCATCGAGTTTTGGACTGTTTGAAAATGATATCGAACATCTGTATTAATTATAAGTATATCTTATTGTATTTTTCCAAAGCCTACGTGATTAACTATAAAAATAAATACATTAACATGTTTTTTGTGATTATTTCAAAAACTATAAGAGATAGATATAGGACATGTTGATAAAAGTCCTTCTACAAATTGATGTAGTTTTGATTGCCGTTGAGAAAATAGAGTCATTTCATTTGAAAAAACTGAGTTAAAGCTGTTTGTTAATGATCATTTTCAAAAAATCATACTAGCCTTGCAATTTGACAGTCAACAATTTTGAAAATTCTAGAAAACTTTTCGAACCTTTGGTTTTCGAATGCAACAAAAAATATTCACTTATCTCAAAGGGTTCAAGAGCTGTGATGTTTTGAATGAAACCCTGCAAGTGAAAATTTTGACCAAAAAATTGACATATGTCAAAAACTATGATAGTTAAGTATTAACAACTAGGTACATTTTACTTAGTTTAAAGAGGAGAATTCAAAAATGCAATAAAAATAAGTGTTTTTAACTTCTAATGCAGATAGAAATTTGAAATTTTGTACACAACCCAAATCGATCAGTCTAAGTTAAATTAAATTATTTTCAAAATGGCTGAACTTCCGGAACTACGAGAAATTGACGCCAACTTTGAAATTTTAAATGGTACCCACTTATTTTTATTGCATTTTTGAATTCTCCTCTTTAAACTAAGTAAAATGTACCTAGTTGTTAGTACTTATTTGTCATAGTTTTTGACATATGTCAATTTTTTGGTCAAAATTTTCACTTTCAGGGGTTCATTCAAAACATCACAGCTCTTGAACTCTTTGCGATAAGTGAATATTTTTTTCTGCATTCGATAACCAAAGGTTCGAAAAGTTTTCTAGAATTTTCAAAATTGTCGACTGACAAATTGCAAGACTAGTATGATTTTTTGAAAATGACCATTAACAAACAGCTATAACTCAGTTTTTTCAAATGAAATTACTTTATTTTCTCAACGGCAATCCAAGGTACATCAATTTGTAGAAGGACTATTATCAACATGTCCTATACCTATCTCTTACAATTTTTGAAATAATCACAAAAAACATGTTATTGTTTTTATTTTTATAGTTAATCACTTACGGGCCAATTTCAAGTTCTGAGATACGACCGTTGCAAATCATAGTCGCAGCGCAACGATGCGCGGGTGATTTGCACCCTCTCTGCGACCGCGAGATGCGACCGATTTCAAGTTAATAAATTGCTACGTCGCTACGTGGTAGCAAACTGCGTCCACGATGCAAAATTTTGCGCTGGTCACGTGACTTTCGAAACGTCAAATTTTGAATTGACTTTTCATTTGGTTTGTGTGGGTTTGTGCAATGGAAAATTAACTGTAAGTATTTTTAGTTATGAAAAATTTAATTAACTAATCAATTATGATAAAAATACTAATGAAAAAAACTAATTATCGCTGTTTTACAGAACGATTAAAAAATCCCGGACGAAAAATTTTACACCGGCAGAAATCGAAATTTTAATCGCCGAAATTTTGTTTGGACCATTAAAAGGGGTTTCACTAACACAATTTCATCGTGACAGGGCCTGGCACCAGGAATCAACACATTCTGCAAAGTTGGTTAGTATAAGAAGAAGAAAACATCATAAATTTCAATTTATAGCAATATTTATTAATACATTTTTTACTTATTATTACAAATATATTTTTCCACAATTTACAATATATTTAATGAGCCAAATTTATCCGCATTACACACTTCCACGATCCAATTCCTACAACAGATGAATTTGCAGCCAAAACTGCTTCATCTGGTGCTGCTCTTCCATTCCTTTCCCTGCCTTCGACAAGTCGTGCTTCGACACCACCTCGTGTATCGCCACCACTGCGGAGACTTCAGCCCTCCAAGTCCAGAGAAAAAAACGGCACACAAAAAAGTCTGCCACTTTGGCTGAAATAAAAAAGAAAATACCGAATTAGAAGCAAATGTACTTCTGGGGCAGCTGGTGGTGGAATTTCGAAGATTTAGAAACGAGGTGCATGAACTAATAAACCTCCGGAAACCAGAATTAGAAAGAGAAGAGGAGTTATTAATTAAAAAAATGTATTTTTTTAAATTGTTTGAAAATAAATGTTAAGAAATAGGAAAATTTTGAAATAACTTTGCTTAATTTACTTTTGATAAAATGATATCATTAGCCATGGTTCTTGTGGATAACCTGAGTCGCCCACAAGCCACCCCTTCGGGAAATTTTCTGCAGAATTCCATCTCGTACAGATGAGTTCCTCCAGATGAATGAATCGCAATTTGAACCAGGAAATGCTGTAAAAACATTATATTTCAAATTAGAACTTACCACCAGCTGTACATTGGTGAAAAAAATGACGATTTCGGTATTGCTCTGAAGTATCGGTGATAGGTTTTGTATTCATTCACATGGGTGTTGCACCCAGAACATTTGGAAAACCCCCAACATGTCGCCTCATTCCCAAAGCATAAAATGCTTGTTTTACAGCGGGATATTTTGCTGCCGTTGGAAAACGAATAAATTGGGGGGCTACCTCGACAAAAACTGTCCTCACTTCGTGGATGGTTTTCGACGTTGCACTTTGGGAAATGCGACTGCTGCTGCCTATCATCCACTAGTACATATGTTCCAGTGGCATAAAATTGCAGAGCCACATACAATTTGTGGGGGTCAAACGAGAATGATGCCCCTTTTTGGGGTTTTTCAACAAAGCCGGCGAAATGATCTCCACTACATAACTAAAAACGATTGTATCAAGACGAGTTTGTTGAAAAAGTAGCGTCTCCGGAATGTCGAGAATAGTATCACGGGTTGTTCTTCGTTACCACTATTTTCACTTTTACTCGAATTTTCAAGCAAATCGTTGGCGAAAGCTTGTGCGCGACCGCCATTTTTACTTAAAATTTGACAGGTCACATGGGGTCGCAAATCGCTGCACCTGCTAAAAAGGTGTCGCAGCGAGAGGTTGTAATATAGCGCGCAAAATTTAACTTGAAATTAGGAAACGACGGTCGCATCTTGACACTGCGTCGTTGCTATGTCAACTCCATGCTATGGTTTCTTAGATTAGTGAATTCAGTCTATCTATTTAATTTAGCGTCCAAACACCAGAGGCGCTCGCATCAAAATTTTAAAATTTTAGCGGTTGGTTGTGACACCTCTGATAGAAAAAAATAAATTTTGACGGTGACATCGTTCAAAGTGCTTATGTGTAGTTATGATTTTTAGATTTTTATTCAGTTATTGTGTACAGATGTGTGGCTGTGTATACAAGTAAAGGAAGTTTTACTAACAATTTGTGAATTTTGTTGATGAAAATATGGACATTGATGGGAAAAATATGAAGATTTGTTCCGGCCGACACCCTTTTGTGACAAGAACTCAACAACTCAGACTGTTTATGCTTCCTTCTCGAACATAATTGTTCTAATATAATCCATATAAGTATGAAACCACCTATGTTAACTAATTTGATTCAATATCTTTAATAAATCACTTTAAAAAAATAAACTTATATTTTCTTTGTTTAATCTCTAATAAGATGCCAGTAGCACTTATCTCCCTGTACTAAATACTCAATTAACATTATTTTTACCATTTCAAAAAGGCACATTTTGCTCTATAGTTCAGCGTCCAAACTACAGAGGCGCTGCTGAATACGAGTTCAAAAGGTTGTACATGAGTACGCCATCTATAGACCCTATATAAGTATTCATCTATGGTCAACTCAGATTTGCGCCGGTTGTAACTCAACTTGAAATTGGCCCATTAGGCTTTGGAAAAATACAATACAATCCTGGCCCCAATTCTTCGTAATTCCGGATGGGTGTTGTGTAGACTAATAAATCTTTAATACGTATTGATCATTTTCCAAAGCCTATGTGATTGACTATAAAAATAAAAAACAAAAACACGTTTTTCGTGATTATTTCAGAAACTGTAAGAGATGGGTATAGGACATGTTGATAAAAGTCCTTCTACAACTCGATGTACTTTCGATTGCCGTTGAGAAAATACGGTCCTTTTATTTGAAAAAACTGAGTTGTAGCTGTTTGTTAAATAGCATTTTCAAAAATTCATATAAGCTTTGCAATTTAACAGTTGACAATTTTGAAAACTTTAGGAAACTCTTCGAACATTTGGTTATCAAATGCAGGAAAAATTATTCACTTATCGCAAACGGTTTGAAGTGGAGAATTCAAAAATGCAATAAAAATAAGTGGGTACCATTTAAAATTTCAAAGTTGGCGCCAATTTCTCGTAGTTCCGGAAGTTCGGCCATTTTGAAAATAATTTAATTGAACTTAGACTGGTCGATTTGAGTTGTGTACAAAATTTCAAATTTCTATCTGCATTAGAAGTTAAAAAGTTTCTAATATAGGCCCTAAAAGAATCACCTTGTATACTTTAGTTTAACAGAACGGATAACTTGTTGCCGCTAAACACTGGAGTTTTAAAAAATACAAGACGACGAAAGTGCACCCCACTGGAACTAGAAAAAATGACCCTAAACACTGATAAACAAACCATTACAATTTTAAGGTTATAAAAGATGAGTCACATACCGGGTGTCCCAGGCAGGCTGGGATATAGGAAATTAACATGGGAAATTAGTTTTTATTTTTTCCGGCTGCAGGAGTAACAGAAATCAAAATCTGATTGATAGAACTTGTAGTAAGTACTCGAAAAGGGCTATTTTATCGACATTTTTGTCGATTCTCGTATTAACTCCATTTGGACGAAAACGACACTCAAAAAATCGAAATTTGAATTTGCCGCGTTAGCGATACAAAGAAACGGACTATCAAGTCATTGTTGCCAACAGAAAATTTGTAGCTAAAAGCCCTTGCAATGATTGTGTTTTCTGAATGTTTTTGGAAAATAAATGTTAATTTTCTAATGAAACACTTCAATAATTGAATAATTGAATGGAAATCCCTTTCAAGCCAAAGTAAAATTTGCTTACATTATTAGAATGATAAGTCATGTGAACGAATTGTGAAATGCTTTGTTGGCAACAATGACCTGATTAGTTGGTTTCTTACTAACACTAACCCGACAAATTCAAATTTAGATTTTTCGAGGGCCGTCTTCGCCCAAATGGAGTTAATTAGAGGATCAACAAAAATGTTGATAAGTAACCCTTTTCGAGCACTGTAAGGTCCACCATCATTTCTATTACTCCTGCAGCCGGAAAAAAATACAAACTAATTTCCTATTTTAATTTCCTATATCCACATTAAACATTAAATTTGACAGTGTCATCAATTCCACTTTTTTCCCCTTGAATTCGAAATGTACTCAAACGACAAAAAACTAACATAACCTTGATATATGGAGAATGCCACAAAAATGCTGTGGCTAAATCTGTATCGTCAAACATACACCGCAGGACGCAAAGCTATAGAAACTGTTTAAGCTATCGCAGATATCTATGTTTATAATTTTGAAAAATATCAAACTGTAGGTTTTTATTATACCGGGTGTCCCAGGCAGGCTTGGATATAGGAAAAAACATAGCAAAGCACTTGTTGCAGAAGGTTCTTCAAGCACTCATTTGTTCCTCAACTCGCCGCTTCGCGGCTCGTTTCCGAATTTCAAATTTGTGCTTGCAATTGCAACTTGTACTTTAATATACTATTATATTTTTTTCCGGCTGCAAGAGTAACAGAAATCAAAATCTGACTTATGGAGTTTGTAGTGCTTGAAGAGGGCTATCTTATCGATATTTTTGTCGATTCTCCAATTAACTCCATATGGGCAAAAATGACCGTCGAAAAATCTAAATTTGAATCTGCCGGGTTAGCCCTGCTAAGAAACGAACTTATCAAGTCATTGTTGCCAAAGGAGAATTTGTCACAATTTGACTTGCTAGTTCGTTTCTTGGTAAAGCTAACAAGGCAAATTCAAATTTCAATTTTTCAAGAACCGTTTTCGCCGAAATGGAGTTAATTGGAGAATCGACAAAAATGTCGATAAGATTGTCCTTTTCGAGCTCAAGCTCCATTAATCAGATTTTAATGTTTGTTACTCCTGCAGCCGGAAAAAAATAAAAACTAATTTCCCATGCCATGTTAATTTCCTATATCCAAACCTGCCTGAGACACCCGGTATGCGACTCAGCCTGTGTTAGTTTGTCAATTCTTTATGATACGGGTTAAGTAACCAACTTTTGCTAGTAAAAAGTTGCGTTTCATAATAAGCGTCTTTATGAAATTGAAATGCATACAGTTGTTCTTAGAGACACCAAGCAGAAAATAGTATATTATGATACGAGTTTTATAAGAAGCATTTTTTATAAGGCATTTTGTCGCACTTACTCCTTTATGACACTCCTCGCTGAGCTCGTCTTGTCCTAAAGCCGTACGTGCTACAAAATACCTTATAAACAAGATATTGTACAGTATTTTTTCTACTTTGCACTTTTTTTAAACAAAAAAAAAATAAATTTGCGTTATGTAGAGAATTTTGCGGCAGTTAACAAGATTGCGCGGTGGCTAGATAGCCATGAAATAAATTAATTTGAAACGTCATTATTGTATTCGTAAAAGTGAAATTCGAAGATGTCGGAGACGTTTTGCAATGGAAGCCTCTAGAAATACGGACCTTGGCGGCAAATACGATGAAAAATTTACTTCACGGGAAACGTCAAATAAAATGACAAGTCGTAAAGTAATACGGTAAAATAGGCTGAAATTAGTTGCCGACGTATAATAATACGAGTAGGGCCGTTCCTTTTTGAAGGTAAATTATATACAGGGTGATTCACGAGGAATAATGAGCCTGACCAAATTCTCGATGCAACCAACATTACAGTTGTCGCAAAATAACTTGCGAAAAGTAATGGTTGTTGCATCGAGAATTTTGTCAGGTTCATTATTCCTCGTGAATCACCTTGTATTTAGTTATTATAATCATCACCTTTTTTGGTCATGCCATTTTACCTTTTCGACTTGTCATTTTACTTGACATTTTACACACATACGTTTTCGGATCTAAGGATGATTCGATTACAAATTATCTTGATCGCTCGATACATTGAAAGCCGCACTGAAATCGTTAAGTCCACAACACACCCCAAGCTCTATTATTTGATTGTTTACCACCCCTTAATTGCAAAGTGTTTGCGTTATAACTAGAGATAAACCCCTTGATTCAAAATAACTTTATATGTAAGTATTACTTATGCATATTTATACAGTAGGTCCCTGGATTACGTTTGCAAGAGAAAGAAAAAATATCTTTGATGTTACGCCAAAACTACAAAGGAAAAACATTTTTTGAGTTAACTGAA